ACACACACACACACACACACACACACATAGAGTGTACTAGATACCGAAGCCAAATAAATTGCATCTACAATCTTTGGCTGGCATTTCCCTTGTTCTAATCTATATCTATGACTATATTTATTTTACAGACAGTAAACTCAAGGAAGAAATGTTTCCTTCTTGAATATTAATCTATCCATTAATCATAACAGCAATACATGATAAGACAAAAGGATTCATCACTGTGCGGGCTTTCAGGAAATAGCCCCACATGCAATTCAGTAAGTTCTTTGTTAGACTCAAAAGATGACTTAGAAGTAAACTGATATCTGGATTCTACAACACTTGATAACAGATATACAGCAAATCCTAGAACTTGTAATTTTTCTTCTTCTTCTTGGTTCTTACTATAGCCATTAATTTTCTCTCTCCCTTCGTGAGGCATCATAACATCTTTCCATATTTTTCACTTCAGGCCATTTCAATTGTTTTATTTTTATAAAATCAAATATAACAGAAAATGAAAGGCAATACAAAGACAAAGGATAGAAAACATCCAGGTTGCAGAATTCTGGGAAGTGTCTTGTCCAGATCCCTCTAGAACTGTGGGCTGGTAAAGTGAAATTCAGCAGCAAAAGTTTGATTTGGGTAGCAAGATTTCTTTTTGTGTGTACTGCTGTTGTCATTGGTGGCTTTGCAATTTTAGTAGCAAAATAAGGTGTCAAGCTTATAAGTGATATGATATACCAATAACCTGTAACCACCCTCAACTGCGCCCACATATATATCTCAAATTATATTTATTTATTATATTTAAGTGTCTACAAAGTGGAAGTCCAATATTACATCACTATTTTACGGTTTAAGACAAAATTATTTTGTCTTTCAGACTGCAGCATTTCAATTTCAAATTCAACGTGAGTTTTATACTGCTCAGTTGAGGAGGACAAAGTAAAACTGAAAAGGGAAGATCTTTTTTTCATTTTAAAGTTTATCATTTGGTAGATGACTGCATTCATCAGCAATGTTCACCACTTCAAAGAGCCACTCTTTAGTCAACTTGTCTCAACAGAATCTACCCGACCTGTTTTCTGTTTTGTGACAAGCACCAAAACTAACAAAATTTGAAACTAAAAGAGTACCATTTTTAAACAAATTACCTTCTCTTGATACTGACGTCGTGATGAATCCAAAGACTGAATCAGGGCTGTGGCATGTCCGACAAACATGGCATAACAGGTGGCCCCCACAATCATGCTCAGCATGGTTATCCAGAGATCTGACATGCTCACAGGGGCTCTGGCTCCATACCCAATGCAAAGCATATGGCTCATAGCTTTGAAGAGCGCATAGGAATACTGCTTCCCCCAGGAATTATTCTGTAAAAGAGATGGGGGGGGGTGAACAAAGAGAAATGCTTGAGAACATGGAACAAAGGAGACAAGCTTCAGGATGATAATAGCCTTCTTATCCAGAAGAAGCACCCTTATATTACAGCCTTCATAAATAAATCAATATGTTGGAGAAGTGGTTTGAGGTTCATATGATCATACATCAGGCACTTACACACCATGAGCTTTCCTCCTTCAAAAGGAGGGAAAGACTCCATCCAAAGCTCTAAGGTTTACAGTGATATTTTCATAGATGAAAGATAAATAAATATGCATTATACAAGTGTTATAAGGCTCTTTGTTCTTGCATATGTGTATGAATGTGTATGTGTGTGATACATATATGTATGCATGTGTATGTATGTATATATGTATATGTGTATGTATGTATATGTATGTAAATGTGTACACACACAAACTAGACAAACTGTGACCAGTTGGGTCATTGTTGCAGAGATATTTCCTTACCTAAACAGAAATATAATGACCAAGGGCAAAAAAACAGTAGGAGTGTGACCGACCTGCGACTTGCTGCCAGCTTCCCTGGCAGAAATCTCCCTCCCTCCCTCCCTCCCTCTTTTTCTTACTCCAATCCCACGGGAGTAATGCGTCCTGGATTTTGGACACATTCTGTAAGTTAACCCATTTGAGGTACCTTGGTTCAAAAATTGTTGCCCTACAATGCACCATTTCGCCCAGTTGAAGGTTACAGACACAAGAGTTTTAGTAGTATATAGATATATACATACACATTCACACTAATGTATTGGAATCCTTAGATAGTGTTGATTATATATTTGGAACAACTACGTGTAGCTTCCTCTCCTCCAGCCCCTTCAGGTAATAAGTTGCAAATGTTGACAATACAATATCTATTTGGTACTGAACTCAGTACAGTTATAGGACTATATCCTGCTCCAGGATTCTGGTCATAAAGTTTGATAGAGAAATTAGTTATTCAGTGAATAAGAGCACACAGAATTCTTTCATGGAGCACAAATATCTATGGAGTGAAATTAGATAGCTTAGCTTATCAAACCCAGGATAATTTATTTGCTTGGATTTCCATATATTGCCCTGAAACTCTGTTCACTTTGGTTTAAGGCAGATGAGTAAGGAACATAAAATCAAAATATTTTTAAAGGGAGTCCTGAATTAATAATTTTGCATCAGAGCTGAAATCTCAAATGCTACATTGATGAAGAATAGTGCCTTCTTTCATGCATCTTTTTCTACCAATTGTATCTTATATCCTATAATTCCAGTGCTGTTGATTCTTGAGGGGCACCAAGAATCTATTCAGAACTTTCATTTAAGCATGCCATACTAAGAATGCATTTTCTGTTTTTTGGAGGGCAGGGGAAAAGATAATTCTGGAGAACACCCATGTCTTTCACTCCCAACCTGATGGCACATTTTGAAGTCCCCCTTACACCTCCAATGGCCTCCATACCTTCAGTGCAACATTGCAAAGGCTGAACTGCAGTTCAGCAGTTCAGCAATTCAGAAATATATGTATTTAATTGAGATGAGAGACTGAAGGTTTGAAACGTATTTTGAAGGCTTGAGGAATATGGAGGGGAGAGAAGAAAGTTGGATTATAAGTAGTTTGAAAGAGTTTTGTGGCACTGGGAGCAATGACATTGGTTGAAACATAGAAACATAGATATTTTCATACCATTTCTCCTTCTTCTTTATCCCTCAGTTTCAATCATGAGAATTTGAAGGCCTACCACAGTTGTTCATTCTGGTTACTGAAAGCAGCAAAATTTGAACTAGAAATATATACTTCAAGCTGCTCATTTAAAAAATGAGGCCACTAAAACCAAATTTATATTTGATTGCTTGGGTTCAAGCATGGACACAAGACCTGAGTATGAAAAATGCTCAGTATTGGACTGCATGTAAAATATTATGTCTATTTTCAAAACCAGGATTATGGGACATTTTTTTAGTATTAATAACTTTTAAAAGCTTCTGAAACATTAATATATTAAAAAAGAAACATTCTGCTACTCAAAATCCTATCTTTTTCTCAAAGGGGAAAAATAATATCCCATAAATGCCATAAAGAAGGCATTTAATTTCTTACCTTACAATTATCACTGCCTTTAGATTAGTAGTAATCCATTTTAGCTGAATTAAACAGAGAAACCTTAATCTAAGGAGGGAAATAAACTATTAAAGACAGTAATTGTGACAAATACCAAAGCTGTTTATCTGAGGATTGATTATATAATCAAGCCTGAGGGTACCAGAAAATCTTCACATTTGTAAAAAGCAGTGATCACTGATTATTTGCAATTAGTCTACCAAGTCTAAGCCTTAATTTAGAAGTCTTCTTCAGTAAAGTCTATTTAAATACAGTCCTGTTCTATGTTTAAAGGTTTGTTGTATTCTTCTTAGTCAGAAAGATGCTGCCTTCTAAATACTGGCTGCATGCAGCTAAAGTTAGGAACAACTAAGGGAACAATCCTGATTTTGCTGGAAAATCATCTGTGGCAACAGAAGCAAAAGGAAGAAGTCCAGTCCCAGCAGAGAAAGGATTTTATCTGTGTCACCATAACTTCTGCTGGGGTATTCATGAAAGGCTTTACTGCTGTTGATGTCCAGAAGTGTTTCAGCAGTGTTGGGAAGTCAGTTATGAATCTGCAAGACCCAACGTCCCTTCATTCTTCCAAAACTGGCCTGAAATAATGACAGCTGTGGGATCAGTACTGTTACTGCTTCTCATCTGAAACCGGTGGAAGTAAAAATAATGATGAGAGTCCCAATTTCTGCTAAGACTGCAGCCAGCCAACAGGCCCAAGAATACAGTTTTTCCACTGTAAAACTGTCATAGAATCTCTACCAACATCACTACATAATACAGGTTTGTTCTGCAAATACCACTGAAAACAAGATTCAAATTATTGGGACTGATACTTTCTACTGGTTCTACTGTCAGTTCAGTTCCATGGATCTTATTATGATAAAGTTCAGCTGGGTCAAGGCCAGCAAAACATTTATGAATCTTTATTCAGATATTATCATGTTGTTTTATATGCCTGGTTTAGAGAAGGTGTGAATAAACATTGTGAAAAATTCCTCAACCATGGTCAAGTCAGGCTCTTTTTCTTAAAAAGAGAAATTAATTCTGCACATATATGATTTAGACAATATCTAAGTGGGTCTTGCAAATGCTGCTGAATGTTCATGATTGCAAACCTACTTCTCTAACAGCAATACACATCTTTGCATGGACCATGAAGTCCCAAAAAGCAGTGGAGGTATCTCATGGAGTCCCTCTAGCATTGCCACCCAGGTGATCTTTTTAATGGGACAGGAGAGGAAAATTATTTAAATGCATAGGGAGACCCTGATGCTGGGAAAGATTGAAGGCAAAAGGAGAAGAGGACGGCAGAGAATGAGATGGTT